TGAAGGCCTGAAAATTTGCCCTCAAAGAGAATCAAGGGACTATAGGAGAGCAATCAGGTCAAGTTTCATTGATAACGCTATTGAAAGATACAAATGAGATGGTAGATAAAAGTTCCTGCTACACAGTGTGGTACTCAGTATCAAATTACTGCCTGATCATTTCTTTTCTTATCTCAAGCAAGGGTTATAATACTGCCTGCCTTACTGAGTTGTGAGGATTTAAATGCAAACATGAAGTGTTTGGAACACTGCCTAGCACTGTGAAAGTACTCATTAACTGCCAGCCATCATTGCTATTATTTTGGCTTCATGCTGTGCTCTTCATTTTGCGACAGTACCATAGAAGTATTTTTCTTTATTTTAAATTAATCCCGTTTTAGCAATATTTCACAGTGTTGAAGAAGGTAAAGTAGGAGAAAAAGGAACATAACTATTCAACTGCTATTTGGCTATGTATTCTTAAAGTCTTAAATAAAAATCATATTTTATATTACTTTTATTTTATGTGTGTGAGTGTATTACCTGCATGTATGTAAGTGCACCTGTGTTGTGCAATGCCGGTGGAGGCCAAAAGAGTGTTGGATCCCCTGGAACTAGAGTTAGGATGGTCGTTAGCCACCATGTGGGTGCTGGTGACTGAACTTGGGTCCTCTGGAAGAATAGCCTGTGCCCTTAACCACTGAGCCATGTCTCCAGCCCCAGAACTTTATTTAGAGCAGTTTTAGATTTCAATAGACTTGATCAGAGGATATAGACATTTATTACATTTCCCTTTTCTCCCACATATACTCATATTTTTCTATCAGTAGCCTCAAATAGAGTGGTACATTTATTACAGTTGATAAATCTACCTTGAAACAAAAGTATTACCTAAAAGACTCTCCCACAGGAAAGTCTGTAACAAGAGCAACAAGTAGAACAAAATTCATAGTGTCTGGTTTCTGTCAACTTTGGCTATGACTTCTGAAGGGTCTCAGCTTGAATACTTTGCTACTATTGGACCTATTGCCATCTAGAGCAGCAGCTTACACTTGCTCATTTATATGCTTTGAGTTACTAATAGTAATAAACTGTTTTTTTAAAAATACAGTATTCTACAGATTGGAGATGCAAGCGCCAACACCTCAGTGTTAGTAGCAAAAACAATGAGTCTTTCTGTAAGGAACAATATATTCTAGAATGAAATGGAGATCTTTTTTAAAGGTTGGAAGCTCATCCAATTTTGTGTCTTGCAGGGCTTATACTGAGTTCAATAATATATTACTGTATTAATTCAACTGTGAACCTAGAAACTTGTATCCACTTGTGAAAGAGGTACTCTTGCTCGGGAGTGTGTTACTGAATATGTTGAAGCTGTAGTGAAATACTTCTTCTAATCATGTAGTTATTGAAATGTTTTTAAAATGATTAAAAATAATAGGTCTTTAAAGCATTAAAATTTCCTCCTTAATAATTAGTAGATGTGACAAACATTACCATTGAGATCTACCTGATGACTTGATATCCATGCTCAGATGCCAAGGAGCTCAGAAAGTAACCAACTGTGATTAGTAATAATCAGATATATAGAGATTAGAGACGCATGTGCAAACATCTTAATGTCAATTGTATTGGGGATGAGTTTTTCTGTGTGAAGCTGTGTGTTTTGGCAATGAAATGGAGATCTTTTTTGGAAGTTGAGCCCTCATTTGATTTTATATCTTGTGGGGTTTATACTGAGTACAATATTGTATGGCTGTGGTGGTTCAAGATTTGCAGCCAGTTTTGAAAGAGATGCATCTTGGCTCAGAAAAAAAAAAGAAACAAAACAAAAAAACAGTATTCTTGAGAATTCATATATGTGTAAATGGGGTTTTGGATATCTACCCTTACACCCTCCTTCAACTTCCACAAACCCTCGCACCCTGTCCCCCTCCCAATTTAATGACCCCTTTTCATTTATTCATTCTTTTTTTTTTTTCTTTTTAAATTAACCCACTAGGCCCAGTTAGTGCTGCCTCTGTGCACGTAGGCATGGACGATCCACTGGAGCATGGGCAACCTACCAGTGGCTACGTCCCCAAAGAAAAATGTCTCTCTCTCTTTTAGCAACCAACAACTGCTAATAGCTCCTCGGCTAGGGATGGGGCTTCGAGAGCCCCTCCTGTCCATGCTGAAATTCTGACTGATCTGGAGCACGTCATGTGCTCAGTGAGTTTCATGAGTGCAGCAGCCACTTCATGTCCAGAAGACAGCACTTCACAGCACTGCTCCCATCTTACGTTCTTTTTGTTTTTATTTTAAGATTCTGTTTATTTTTATGAGTGTTTTGCTTGCATTTATCTAAGTACAACACGTGCATGCAATGCCAAGAGAGGATCTCCTGGAACTGGAATTAGAGATGGTTGTGAGCCACCATGTGAGTGCTGGGAACTGAACCCTGTGGCAGCAGCAAGTGCTCTTAACTACTGAGCCATCTCTCCAGCACTTCTACCCCAGTCTTACTTTTTTCCCCCATCCCTTCTTTGAAGATATTCCCTGGGCCTTGGGGAGGCAGTTGATAAAGATATTCCATTTAACGTTGAACATTCACAGTCCCTTATTCTCAGCACTTTGACCACTTCTGAGTCTCCGTATTAATCACTGCCCAGTACAAAAAGAAGCTTCTCTGTGCAAGGTTGAGAGAAGCACAGAATTATGGAGTGAATTGCTGGTACTGCTGAGTTAAGTTGAAAGGTGGGGTTCTCAGCTGTAGTATGGCACTTGTAATCTACCCACACAGTATCTTGTTTCTCCAAAACAGTTTTTTCTTTTCCTCTGTTTCCTATTTCATTGCTGTAATCCTGTAATTTAAAAGGCACCGAGATTTTTAAAACTGGTTTTTAATCTCAGAAATGACAAGGACTCGTTTAATTGACCCCGACTATGCAGAATAACTGACCAAGGCTCCCTTGTATATTTTGTCTACAGGACATTATGTGTGTTAACTGTGCAAACGTGTTTATCATCTTATATTCTATAATGTCTTATTTCAAATTGTATATTATTTCTCAGAATTCTTGGCTTAGTGCTAAATACATTGTAGGTGTTCAGGAAACATGTATCAATTTTTGTTGTTGTTTATTTTAGTTTTTTGAGACAATGTCTTGTAGCCCAAGCTGGGGTTCAACTCTAGGTCCTCCATCTCCCAAGTGCTTGGACTACAGGCGTGTGCCACCACCCCTGGCTTTATTGATCAAAGTTTAATATTGGAAATTTTTGACATATCCTTTGGTTTTCTTACTGCCTTATGCAGTTTTTTTTTTTAATTATAACAGATGTGTGTGAAGGTATTTTTATTACTAAAGTAATACAAACTCAAGATATTTCTTCCTCTAGCCTGATATATTTACAATTTATCTTCTTAACCTGTTTTAAGATTTTTCTTTAAAGCATGAACTCAATAATGTAGATTACATGCGTTGAGATGTTTTAGGATAAATACAATTTAAATGAGCTCTTTAAGTTGTATTCTTTCTAGTTAAATATTCTGTTATATTCTGACAAAGGATTAAAGAGTGAGTATTTCCAGAGAAGCCTGGTCTGGGTATTCTCATAGTGTCTTATGTCCAGTGGGTACACAGTAAGTCTGTACCACAGGATAGAGTTTGTTCTGAGACTTCTATAGAACGTTAGTGTAGAAGTACTAGGAGAACCACTAGACTAAGAAAGCATGTGGGTTTAAGTTGTAACTGTTGAAACAGGGTCTCATCTAGCTTAGGCTGACCTTGATCCTCCTGCCTCACTGAAATTACAGATGTGTGCCATCACACCCAGCGCAACCTCTGCTCTTAATTTAGCTTTGTTATTTTGGGCACACCATTATACCTTTCCAAATTTGAATTTTCTCAAATATAAAATGATGGAATTATGCAAGAGTAATGAGATGATTGCTGAGATTTTTCTTCTGAAATCCTATGTAAATGTTTAACACTCGGCCTTTGCTTGACCTTAGCTCATTCATAAGCCTTCTCCATTCTCTCTAAAGAAAGTGCCAATTAATTTTCTACTCAGCTGTCTGCTCATGAGTGCTCTTTAGTACACCCACGCCTGTCTGCTCTCAGAGTCAACTGTTTACCCGAAACCTGTTTATACTGGTTTTACTTGTTACTGTAGCTATGTAATTAAATGTTATATTAGCTAAAGAAATCAGAACATAAAATAACTGTTTTTATAGAACTACTTAAGTACTTAAAAAAACCTGGATAGAGTTTCTAAACTATATTGTTGTGTTAGATACAAGTAAGATAAAGAAAGATGGGAGAAAATGTTAAGAATCTATAAAGATGACCTCATTGGTAGGAAGTATTCTACCACTGAGCAGTGTTCTTTGCCCCTCTGTCACCACTTTAAATAAATCGAAACTGAACATTGTAGATGATGACTAAATTCAACCAGGAGACCCATAGTCAAGGAAAGGACCTTATAAGAAATAAGTAAAGAAAACCGGGCATGGTGGTGCACACCTTTAATCCCAGCACTCAGGAGGCAGAGGCAGGTGGATCTCTGGTGAGTTCAAGGCCAGCCTGGTCTACATAGTGAGTTCCAGGACAGCTGGAGCTACAGGGAGACCCTGTCTCAAAAAGACTGAAAAAATAAATAAATAAATAAATAAATAAATAATGTATTTTATATTCTTTGTGTTAAAAACAGATTACCTGGAGGTTAGGGGTACAGCTCAGTGGTAGAATACTTGCTTACCTTGTACAAGACCATTGATTCCATTCTCAGCACTTCAGTAAATATAAATAAATGTCTCTTTATGATTTACTCCTTGAAAAAGCTAGCTTTTCTGGATTAGCAGACCAAGGTCCTATGAAGTAAACAGCTTTTACTATTATGTGATCTTCAGTATATCCTAGGCCTTGGGGGAAAAAAACAATCCTATTGCAGATCGTATACTATTTATAACTTGTGTGCATTCTCTTTGTCTGAGATCTGTGTTAAACACTTCTTGTTTTATATCTCATGTTCAATCTCAATTATGTGTTTTCTTCACAGAACATTCAGAAGATTCTTGGCCTTGCCCCTTCACGAGCTGCCACCAAGCAGGCTGGTGGATTTCTTGGTCCCCCACCCCCTTCTGGGAAGTTCTCTTGAACAGCAGCAGAATTCTTTATTTCCTGTCTTTTTTTTTAGGTATTCAAGGCAAACTGGCAAGGCACCTGGTCACGTTCTGGTTTTGAGTTATTTCTCAGTTTTTTGGATATAATTAGAATAAGAATGGCACTCAACTAATAAGACACTGCTTTTGATCACAGATTACTTTTTAAAATAAGTGGATTCATTTGTTAAGTTCAGGTGATTTCTGTGTAACCACAAACAAATACCGTCATTCTTACTTCACTTAAATATTTTCTGTGGGACTTATGAGCAGGACTCTGTGCACCAAGCACTACAGAAGTGGTCTCCTGCGGCTGGGAGAAAGACAAGTTTGTGTAGGTATAAATTTAATCAAATTATTTGTTGTGTTTTTTTAAAGCCAGTATGTCACTTATGATCAATAAACAGCCAAATATTTAGCTATTTCATCTACCAGAGATCTGTTTAATTTTGTTCTGCATGTTTTTAAAAACATGCTTTTAGTGATCTGAATATTAGATTAAAAATTGACCAAAAAGAGCTAAAATAAAAGTTTTTTAATGTGTTTTTAAAATTTTTAAAAATATTTATTATTTTTATGTATATGCGTGAATCGCCTGCATTTATGTAAGTGTACCTGTGTCATGCAATCCATGGGGAAGACAGAAGAAAGCGTTGGATCCCCTGGAACTGGGAGTTACAGACAGTTGTTAGCTGCCATGTGGGTGCTGGGATTCGAACCCGAGTCTTCTGCAAGAACAGCCAGTGCTCTTAGCTGCTGAGCTCTCTCTCCAGCCTCTCATGTGTTCTTTTATTATGCTTGTCTATATGTTCACGATATGAATTTGTCCTAGTATGCAATTTGAAAGTAAGGGGGAATGAAAAGGAATGCATCACATGAGCAAGCGTGAGGGACCCCCGCAGGCCCTTTATACTCTGTGATGGTCAGGTGGATTCTTGTGGAGTGCTCTGAAATCCTCCACAGCAAGGTTGAAGTTACCAATAGCTGATCGGGCTGAGTTTGCTTTTAGTCACAGTGACCTTCAGTTCTTGTGTGCCTTTATACAGAAGGATGCACATACCATGATCCTCCCCTGTGAGCCATGGATTTAGGAGTCCTTAGTGAAGTCAATTCTTTTGATAAATACACTCATTATTCTCCTTAAATATGGGTATTTTACTAGTGACAGAAAAACAGAAATCCACATTTGCAGTATAATAACTGTTAAGCCAACAGAAGACTTCTGACCGGCAACCCTAAAGGCAAGAGTACAGTGGAATGATATCTTCAAAAGTGAAGAAAACTATCAGCTTAGAATTTTAGACACAACTAAACTGTAGAATTAGGGACCAAATAAAGACATTTTGAGACATAGAAAATCTAAGATGAAGGAATTAAAGGGTGTTTCAAGGACAAAGAAGACACACCCAAGTGGAGAGTGTGGTGTTACAAGGCACAATGGTCACCACAGAAGTTGACGAAAATATGGTCAGGGCCTGGGAGATGACTGGTCACTGAGAACACCTCTTCTTCCAGATGACCTGAGTTTGGTTTCCAGCTGCCTGAAACTCCAACTCCAAGACCCATCAGGGTGTGGTGGGCCACACCTTTAATCCTAGCACTCAGGGCCCAGAGGCAAGTGATCTCTGTGAGTTCCAGGCCAGTCTGTTCTACACAGTGAGTTCCAGGCCAGCTGGGACTATAGGGAGACCCTGTCTCAAAAACACCAAAAAAAAAAAAAAGTCTATTAAAAAGAAAAAATAGGGCCTGGAGAGATGGTTCAGCGGTTAAGAGCAAGAGGACCCAGGTTCAATTCCCAGCACCCGCATAGCGACTACAGACCATCCTCAACTCCAGTTCCAGGGGAGTCCAAAGCCCTCTTCTGACCTCCACGGCATTGCACAACATGGGTGCACTCACATACATGTAGGCAATACACTCACACATAAAAATATAATTAAAAAAATAGAGATAAATGCATTTTATGGATTGAGTGTAAGGGTTATCTCATGGCAACCTGTTCTAGTTTCTTTTATGATGCTGTGATAAAACACTTTATCAAAAGCAACTTAGGGGAAGAAAGGGTTTATTTGTGACACTTCCAGGTCACAGTCCATCTTTGAGGAAGGGGCAGAAACTCAAAACAGGAACCTAAAGGCACACTTGCTTGCTATTCACACAGCATTACCTCTAACCAAAGAACTCATTCACGGCCAAAGAGGTAGGACTCTGCTTGCTAGCTGGCTCTTACAGCTTCTGCTGAGCTACCTTTTTTATATAGTTCAGGACCTTCTTACGGAATGGTACCACCCACAGTGGGCTCCACCCTCCTACATCAATGAACAAATCAAGACAGTCCCCCACAGACATACCCACAGGCCAATCTAAGTAAATTCCTCAATTGAAACACTGCTTTCAGATGATTCTAGGCCGTGGCAATCTCTAAATTAGTTACTATTGGTACCCTCATTTAACAGATGAAGCTAAGGTGGGAGGGTTTTTTTTTTTTTTTTTGGTCTTTTTGGAACAGGGTCTCCTTGTAGCCCCATCTGGTCTGAAACTGTGTAGATCAGGCTAGCCTTGAACTCAGAGATCCACCTGTCTCTGCCTCCCAAGTGCTGGGATTAAGGCATGTACCACCATGCCTGGCTTGGTGGGAGATATGTTTTAAATGTTTTGGATTTTTTTTTTTTTTATGTGAATAAGTGTTTGCCTGCTTGTATGTAAGTGCACCCATGTCTGCAATGCCTGTGGAGGCCACAAGAGAGCATTGGATCTCTTCAATGTGGGTGTTGTTGTCAGCCTCAATGTGGGTGTTGGGAGATAAATCTGGGACCTCTGGAAGAGCAGCCAGTGCTTTTAACTATGGAGCTGTCTCTCCATACCCAAGGCAATAGATTTGCTGATAGTCATTTACAGAGCGGCAGATTTGAACCCAAGCAGTAAAAATAAGCAGTCCAGGCTCTCAAGCGCTGTGTTGTGTCATGACCTCCCCAAGGGTATGTGGTGCATTTCTTCCCAACATCCATCACCTTCTGCTTTCTCCCCAACAGACACAGAGCTCTCTAAAGTTGGGTTTTGTCTTTTTAAAATAGATATGAAAGTAGTCAAGCCATGGGCGAGCACATAGGAGCTTTGAAAATCAGATCAATGGGAACTGACCCCACACACCTTTTTGTGAGACTGGATGTTACTGTGTAGCCTAGGCTGGCCGCAAATTTGAGAGCTTCTTGCCTCAGGCTCTGTATTAGCTTTCTCTTGCTGTAGTAAAACATCTCAGGGCATGTTGGCGCATGCCTTTAATCCCAGCATTCAGAGGCAGAGGCAGGCAGATCTCTTGAGTTCTGGTCCATACCAAATCCAGGCCAGCTGTGGCTAAAGGGAGACCCTGTCTCAAAAAGACAAAACAAAAACACACCATGACCAAGGCACTTATAGAAGGAAGTGGTTATTTGGATTATGATTCCAGAGGGATTAGAGTGCATTATGGCAGGGAGGCATGGTGGCAGAGGTGGTCAGAACAGAAAGCTGAGCATTCATATGTATCTTCAAGCAAACAGGAAGCAGAGAGACAGACTGGAAATGGGAGGTGGCTTTGAACTATCTGCTCCCAGTGGCATATTTCCTTCAGCATGGCCACACATCCTAAAGGTTCCATGACCTTCCCCTAACTGCCACTAACTGGGCCCCAGTGTTCAAATACTTGAAGCCTATCGGGGGCATTTTCATTCAAACCACCACAGGCTCTCAAGTGCTGGGATTGTAGGTTTGTACCACCACTGACCTGTAAAGTCAGTTTTGTAGTTACTTTTATTAGAAGGATGCTTGGTATGAATGGTAATGACTTTTAAATTTTATTTCTGTGTGTGTGTGTGTGTGTGTGTTGTGCCAGATGTGTGCATGTGCCCGAGGAGGCCAGAAAGGGTATTGGATCTCCTGGAGCTAGAGTACATCCAGTTTTGAGTTGCCTGATGTGGATGCTGGGAACCAAACTCAGGTTTAACCACTGAGCCATCTCTTCAACCCTAGTTATGACTTAATTTATCTTTGTGTGTGCATGTGTGTGTTTTCAGGTGTGTGTGCATGAGTTTGACTTATGTTATCTTCCTTTTACATGGAATATTTTTGAGATAGGTTTCTCACTGAACCTAGATCTTGCCATCTTGGCTGGGCTGACCAGCAAGCTCTAGATTTGCCTGTCTCTACACCCCCCACCCCCGACCCAGTGTCATGGTTGCAGACATGCTCCAGCTTTTACATGGGTGGTAGGGATCTGAACTCAGGTTCTCATCATTCCTGCACAGTAACACTTTACCCACTGAGCTATCCTTAACCCATAATGGTGATAACTTTTGATGGTTTTTATTTAATGTTATCTCTCCCCCCATTTCATTAGGTACTCCAAGCAAAATATGTTTTTTTAAGATTTATGTTTTAAAATATGTGTATCTATGTGTGGATATGTACATGTGAGTGGCCAGAAGAGGATATCAGATCCTCTGGAGCTGGTGTTACTGGTGGTTGTGAGTTGCCAGACGTGACTGCTGAGACCTGGGCTTAGGTCATCTGGGGAAGCAAAACACATGTTTTTTTCCTCAAGGGTTATTTTCATCTTTTTAAAAATTTTTAGTTATTAATTTTATGTGTATGAGTGTATTGTCTACATGTATGTCAGTGCACCTATGTATGTCAGTGCACCTGTGTGTGTAATGCCTCGGAGGTCAGAAGAGGGTGTCAGATTCCCTGGAACTGGAGTTAGATTAAGGCTGTTAGCCACCATGTTGGTTCTAGGAATCGAACCCAGGTCCTATGCAAGAGCAGCCAGTGCTCCTAAACACCGAACCATCTCTCCAGCCCTACAATACACACTTTTAATTGCTGAGACATTTTTCTAGCCCCAAGCAAAATAATTTTTTAAAAATGATGACAGGCTGGACCTGGTGGCATATGCCTTTAATCCCAGAGGCAGACACAGGCAGGTCTCTGTGAGATCAAGGCCAGCCTCTACACAGTCTACACAGTAAGTTCCAGGCCAGCCAGTGTTACATAGTAAGACCCTATCAAAAAAAAAACAAGATGATAACAGAGTTTGCTGACTATACTATGGTATTTGCCCCGATTGCACGCTTGTTTTATGTATTATTTATTCATTGTACCCTTTGTAACATTTGCAGGTTTGGATTCCTGAGTTACATAGGATTGAAAATGATGTTCACTGCATGTGGTAATAAGCCTTTAATCCCAGCATTTGGGAGGCTGAGGTAGGGGGATCATGTCTTCCTGGCTAGCCCAGACACAAAAGGCCTGTCACAAAAATAAAATAAAGGTGACATTTTAATTGTATTACTTTTTACTTGTTAGCTAAAATAACTGTGTAGATAGATGCTTCTCATTTGCTGGGGAGAAGTGGTTAAGTTTTTAGGAAAGACAGTATAAATGCTTGATTTCTTGGTCTTCATGAGTGTTCATTAATATGCTCCAGTGGTGATTGTGTGTGTGTGTGTGTGTGTGTATGTTATTTAGCAA